CACTTGCCTCCTATGGTTTCCCCCCAAGAAGCACTATTTACAAAACGTAACTACAGGAGCTAATTTGTAATCATGAGAATTTTGTATAGGGACTGGTGAAAAGTTGGAGGCACGGCTACCAAAGACAATGACTTGAGCACTAGAGGATTTTATCTGTAATCCAACTGCGACAATAACAAGCCAGCAGGACATGCTGCCTCCATGGGGCCATTAGTACCCAGCCGAACTCTGTCGTCTGTCAGAAACTGCTTTTCTGTCTCTCTAGGGGGCTGGGGATGATGCAATTTGAATAGCTCATCGATGGGTTACTATGGAATGAGCTAAGGTGAGTTAAGACACATTCTGGTTTTACCCTAGAGGACAATTCTGACTGGCCCATGAAAAGACCCCGATTCTTTACGCGGGCCTCTCACTGTTGTGGCCTCTCCCGTTGCGGAGCACAGGCTCCGGACGTGCAGGCTCAGCGGCCGTGGCTCACGGGCCCAGCCGCTCCGCGGCATGTGGGATCTTCCCGGACCGGGGCACGATCCCGTGTCTCCTGCATCGGCAGGCGGACTCTCAACCACTGCGCCACCAGGGAAGCCCTGTGGAGCCTTTCTTAACTTCCCTGTGCCTGGTATTAGTTCCTCCAAAATTTTAATTCATTTTGCTATTACTGCTGCATATATGTCACTCTGTATTGTGATGACTTATTTGAATTTCTATCTCTCCCTCACTAGCCTGATTTCCTTTACAGCAGGGAACATGCCATTTATCTTTTCATTTCTGGTACTTCACACTATTCCTGGTATACAGTTGCTACAAAAGAAATGTTTGTTGTTTTGAATAAAGCATTTAGTTACTAAAAAGGTTATGGCAAGGGCCTGCTTGTTGCCACGGAGCTTTCATACTTTTTCCTAAATTGTGGGGAGAGTTTGCAAACAAAGGAAAAGACAGTAGTAGAAACTAATATCTTCCCAAATTAGTGATAACGCTTTAGTAATAAATTAGAGATAGGAAAGAATTGTATAGGCACATAGAGAAAGGACGTATACATTGCTTTGTTTTTAAAAAATGACAAACATGTAGAGAAAGGATGCATACACTGCTTTGTTTTTAAAAAATGACAAACAAGGACGTTTGCTCTGCCCAAGGGGATCACGCTGTTTCTGAGATACGGCGTTTGCAATTGGGTAAATAGTCTGAGATGAATAACCATTGAAGGACAGTGGGGACACCATAGGGTAAAAGCCGAAGAAGAATCAGAGAGCCCAACTTCTTCTCTGGACAAGAGAAGACAACAGAACTTCAATAAGATATCTTTTGTGGCTAAAAATCATAATCGCAAGTACAGATCCTAGTCACACAAAACAGCCCTAGAGTGCAGTCGTACGTTTTGGCGTAGGTATGCTACGGCAAAGCCACAGCTGCTTGGAAAATATCTTAGTGGTGTATTAGGATCCAATCCAAACCACCAAAGTTACACCTGAGATGTTTTGTGTGCTGTCGTGGTCCCTCCCTCACATGAAACGTGGGTGTCCAGGCTCACCCAATGGGGAAGCTTGCCTCCAAGGGCTAGAGAAGGACCCTGACAAAGAAAGAATGGGGGAGAAATAGCACACGAATATGTGCACAGTTTAACTTTATTCATCACCATGACTACAAATAAAGAGGAAGAATCACTTATTAATTCATCCTAATTTGTGCAAGTGTCTTTAAAAGGGAAGAATGATTTTGAAAAAGTCATGGTACGAGACTGGGTGATTTGGAAAGACCCCCTAAATGGCAACTGGAGAGAAGAGAGTCACCCAGCATGTCAGGAGTTAGGAGGCCACCAAAAAGAGTGTGAGAGAAGAAAGACAATATGCTGGAACACTGTTTGCAACAGTTTTTACTCCAAGGAGATGCAAAGAATTCTGTGGATGAGTCAGCCTGGAAATAATTGGTAAGAGAGACTATAAAGTTCATTGGAGCAAAGGCTTAATAATACCCCAGAGGAAATTATCTAGCAAAAAAGCAAATGCCAGTGCATTTGTTTGATAACATCCATTAGTGCCAACTGTCTGGCAGAAATCAGCAACAGGCATAAATATCTTGATTTTTAAAAGCCACATGGAAAAACTGGAGAACTCTTCAAAGAGTAGGCCTGTGTGTCTAGTTTAAGATCAAACAGCAACTACAACCTGAGTTTGGTAATGCTCGATGTATTTGTTATTTAAAGCAGGGCCCACAGGAAGGAAATAAAAGCAGAGGTACAGTGAGGAACTTGAAGCAAAAAGAATCAAGAAATGAGCTGAGAAGCAAATGATGATGTAGAAAGGAGGAGCCTGAGGCCAAACTAAATTGGCCTATAGGGCAAGTGTTAGCATAAATAAGATTAAACTTCCTAAAGTTTTTTTTCTTTTCGGTGACAAGTACTAACGTGTTACTTTTGTCTTTGTTAAAATTTCTAAAAAATATACTATAAAAGCAGATCTGGAATAAATATATCATGACAATTTAAATACTGCTAAAGCAATGTAATTCGTCATAATTAAAAACTGAAATCAGCTAAATGGTCCGCAACCGGGGCCTAGTAAATTACATTGTGGTACATCTGTGACTTAGATATTATGCAACCTCCAGCAATTATATGCAGTAACATGAAATATACTCATGAAAGAGCTCTAACTGAACAAGCTATTTTATACAGTATGAATGATGGAGCTAAAGTAAGCCTATATATAGTTTTTTTTTCTTTTACTGGAGTAAAATTGCTTTACAATGCTGTGTTAGTTTCTGCTGTACAACGAAGTGAATCAGCTCTATGTATACATATATCCCCTCCCTCTTGGACCTCCCTCCCACCACCCCCCCATCCCACCCATCTAGGTCGTCACACAGCACCGAGCTGCACTCCCTGTGCTATACAGCAGGTTCCCTTAGCTAACTATTTTACACATGGTAGTGTATTTATGTCAAACCTAATCTCCCAATTCGTTCCACCCTCCCCTTCCCCACACTGTGTCCACATATCTGTTCTCTACATCTACGTCTCTATTCCTGCCTTACAAATAGGTTCATCTGTACCACTTTTCTAGATTCCACATATATGTGTTATTGTACAATATTTGTTTTTCTCTTTCCGGCTTACTTCACTCTGTAAGACAGACTCTAGGTCCATCCACATCTCTACAAATAACCCAATTTCGTTCCCTTTTAGGGCTGAGTAATATTCCATTGTATATATGTGCCACATCTTCTTTATCCATTCACCTACCATTGGACACTTAGGCTGTTTCCATGACCTGGCTATTGTAAATAGTGCTGCAATGAACATTGGGGTGCATGTGTCCTTTTGAATTATGGCTTTCTCAGGATATATGCCCAGTAGTGGGATTGCTGGGTCATATGGTAGTTCTGTTTTTAGTATTTTTTCATAATTACTTTTGTAAAGTTCTTTGGATTCTCAGGGAAAAGATGCTATTTACCTTTAATTTTAGCTTTGGATATTTTTTATTAGTAGGAGCCTCACAGGGCTCTAAGCCAGCTCCAAAGGAAAGTAAAATCAAGACTTTCCTTGTGCATAGGTATGAGGCTTTATAAAACTCTTAATAAAATGCTGCAGAGAGGAAAGATGCTAGCGGGAGAGGCTGTCTGTAGTCCACATACTGCCATTCTTGGCCAGCATTTCTAGAAGTCACCAAGCAAATACCGAGTATAATGTCTAGAGAGAGAATTTATCTATAGTACCCTCACATGAAGGACGCTGCCAAGTCTTTATGTGTCCCAATTTATGATTTGTTCTTAGAGACAGTCAACCATCTATAAACTAAGGAAAGGGAATCCCACCTGAAGGCTTCAGCTGGGGCCACCAGAGTGCGCTTTCCTCAGGCTGGTTTTCCTACTGATCAATTTGCCTGAGAGCATTTCAAGCACAATCCACTCCCCTTGGAGTGTCTGCATCTATTTGAGTATCTTGTTCCTTTTTGTCACTTTGAGATTTTGTCACTTTGAGATCATTAAACTAATTCCTCTAAGGCATATCCTATTTCTTTTGTGTTTCTAATAAATAGTTCTTAACATCACACTGTTTTATGACCGAATGGATTGTTTTATATGTTGGTGGTGACTGTGTTCTACTTTATTTCCTTAAATACTGTTAGAATTTTTAAAGCCAGTATTTCTAAGGGAAGGCTCTTTGTTTAAGGCAGTATTTAATTTTTATTTTTAGGACACCTGCACAGATGCAAAAACACTAAAAAAACTTTAGGCACCTTTAACATATTTTATTTTATTGAAATATTTAAATTTATTTAATGTTAATAAATGTAATATTTATTTTAATGTTATAAAATGTAATTTTAATATTTACATTAATAAATGTAAATATATTTTAATGTATAAAAAGAATCTAGACACCTTAACGGTGAATTTCACTTGAGGGAGAGGGGTTAGGGTTCTAAGGGAATCACCAGTTGGCAGTTTTTCCAACTACACATGCTGGCATCCGCCCCTAGATTCTAGAAGTTTGGGGGTGATGGTCACATTCTCTTCTTGTCAATAAAAAATAAGGGGGAATGAAATCTGCCTTTGGCTTCCTACTCCCTCCTGACTGTATTCTGGTTTGCTGATCCCTTCATGATCATTCAGAAAACATTTTTAAGAGTTTATTATTTTAATTAAAATAGCACTTGTAAAAGCGAGTATGATTCTGAATATCACAGATCTGTTGTTAAAAAAAAACTTGAACTTGGAGCTACATCATCAAACTGTGTACATGAGATCCTAGGTCATAGCAGTAGTCTCCTCCCTTTGGTGAGAAGAGGATTGGAAAAATATTTCTGATGTCACAAGAGAAAATGTTTTCAAGGAGAAAGGTTATACAAAAAGAATGAGCTTGTTGGTGGTTTCTTATTCGAATACGGCACCGTTGGGGAAGACTGACCTTGCAGGGCTAGGCCGAGCAGGTCGGAGCCAGTGAGGCTAGCAGACACTGTCCACACACGCCCCAGTCAAAAGCAGGCAGCCTAGCCACTCACCGGCAGGGCAAGATCCGGACCACATCGTTGGGCTTGTACCCTTCAATACAAACTGCACAGTTGTCAAAATCAGGCTCGGTTTCCTGCAACAGAGACAGCACAGATGAGCCTGCTTTCCCACCTTCAACTCCGGTAAACACACAAATAACAAGCCAAAGGAGAGCTTGCCTGGAGCAAGGCTTTCAACTGTCTCGGCGCCAGTTTTCTTAATCCATAATTTATTGTACACTGGTTTAGTTTCTATTCCTTCCAACCTCCACTTTCTGTTTCCGGGTTCCACTGCAAAAGCTTTTGTGAGGGAACAGTTTTTTAATGTACCATTACTAATAATGCTACTTATTATAATCGGAGGTGACATAGCCAAGTCTCGAGGATGAGAAATACTATTCATGGAGAATTGTCAAAATGATATTTAATCTATCCATTCCTCAGGAATCTAATGTGTACAACTCTTAAATAGTGGTTCCAGCTTTCTTTTCAAGTACATAAATCTCTTTCAACACCCCATAATACATTACTTATGTAATAGTCCTTGTTCTTTTATTAACCTGTTTGAGGATAAAAAAGTAATGAAAAAATATACTTTAAATTTAGTGATACTTTTAAATGAGTTTTATCCTATTAAGCTCAACGGTATTTTTATATAGTTGAAAAACAGCAGCACGTAATTAGCGAGACTAATCAATTATCCATACTGGAGACAATACCATATACAAGTAGAGTTGTGAATCTCTTACGACGCCCCAAGGAGCCCCAAACCCATGTACTGCAATTCACTGCTCTAAAATTTCTCCTGGGGGAAAAGTTCTCCCAGGGAGAACAGAGGCCTTGAGAGGCTTGTGGGCCTAGACTGGCCTACTTTGCGGTCCTTCCTTAAGATATGCTTCTGCTTTTGGCTTTATGTCATCATTCTACAGCTAGAGAGACTGTTGCCTTGACGTTGGGGTTCTAGAAACTCAATTTCAGAGGGACTAAATATGCTTCTTGCATTTGCTGCAGACTCAAGTGGAGGACATCACTCAGCACATAACAATCTTCCTTGCAAGGATTCATGGAAAAACTTTCTCAAGCTGTAATACCAGCAACAGCCATTTTGTTTTTATCTTGTGGGACACTGGAATAAGGTAATTAGATTTGTTTGAATATTGAATATTGTTTCCCTCTTTGCATTGGCTTGCTGGAGAGCCCCAGCTTAAATTTTGGGACCCATTTCTGCTATATGTTTCAGGTAATGCATGTGTATACTGATTTCATCCTGGTTGCGTCTACTTTTCCTATACCTACTTTTCAATTCTTCCTCCAACTACTTTGTTGTCCTATGGTATGCATTTTATAAACTGCTTTAAATTATGTTAAATAATGATGGGTATAATAACAGATGTTCACAGGAGAACTATTAGTATGTATTTCCCTTTCTCATCTTCTTTTCCACACTGGCTGCTAGGAAACTCGGACACTTCTCTGAATAGCTCCTTGCCAAAAAAGAAAAGAGGCTGTTACCTTGTCACCCTTCTTGATGGTCCTGACCTGGAGCTTGCTGATTGCTTTCTTTGCTGCATCTCCCAGTCGGCGCTGAAAAACCAAAAGCTGCTTGTTAGTAATAAAGACTTGTAATTCTTAACTTTGTGTCTGATAGCATTCAGTAAACCAGGGCAGCTGTGTCTGAAATCATGCACAAGTAGAAGGCATGTTAATGAAGATGGCTGGAAGAGACGGGGCAGTGATACCTGTGCAAAGGGACTTGACTCATCACAGCCTACTAAAGAGCTCTGTCATCGAGAGAAGCTCTTCATGCCTGAGGTTAAGCAAGTGGAATACGACATGGAAGGATCCTGCCCCACAGTGACTCCAGCGCAGGTCACATCCATGCAGATTAGCAAAACAAACAAACAGTTCCCTAATTTGTCACTCTAGCCACTCAATTTGTGACATGGAGATAGCCAATTTGGAGTAGTTCGAATAATCTCTATCTCTTGTTCACAGGGCATATTGTTTGTGTATTCCTTTCAATTTGGAATTTTTAAGCAATTTCCTTTGCTTATCTAGACCCAACTTAGGTTTATATTTGGTCTGTACTATCCTATCCCATCACCTTGTTACATGCCAATTTCACCTCTTTTGTGTGTGTTTAAGTGTGAGTGTGCACATAGGAAAATACATAAATCATACATATTCAGTTTAGCAAATAGTTATAGAGCAAACACCTGGGTAACCATCATCACCCACATTAAGAAATAATATATTATGCACTCCTTTTTTTTTTTTTTGCACTCCTTTTTTTAATAGAGGAGGTTAGTATCCTAATGCACCCTACAATAATACAATAATAGGGCCACGAGGAAGAATGGGAGAGGAAGAGGGTGGGGAGAGAATTACGTTTTAATCTGTCGAGGAGAAAAATGGTTTGCTTGTGCACTTATGAGTTTTCCACATACTGTAATCTTCTCAGGTATGTGTATTTCTAGTCTGTAACAGAAGTGTATTTGCAGCAGTGAGACATATTTGAAAGACTAAGATAAACAGGGCAAACATTTAAAAAGAAGCATGTGCTTTCACTAATTTTGTTTCTTTTGGAAATAAAACTCTAGCTTCTTTCTTTTCTTTAAAGTAGTGAGCATATACTAATGAAGAGTTCATTTAGCCTAAGTACCGTGCTCAAGCTTTGTCAGCTATATCACTATTATCCTTACAACAGCTCTATGAGAAAAATACTATTTTATAGAATGGAGACTTAAAGAGCTTAAGTAAATTGTCTAATATCATAGAGTTAGTGACAGGTCAGTCAGAATCTGAGTAAAAATTAAGTCTGAATTTAAAACCAAAGCTAAATTACCCCTCTCATTTTTTTCACCAATTACCCAGTCCACCGACCAGGCAGTCGGCCAATCACCAAACACCTACCCAGTCAGCCAGCAGCTAGGTGGCCAGACAACCTACTAATCAGCTAGCTAACCAACCAACATCTAGCCAGCCAGCCAACCAGCCAGTCAACCAGCCAAGCAACTAACCAATCAGCTGACCAACCAATCAAAATCTATTAAGTACCTGTGATATGGCATGTCCCTAAGCACACCCCAATTAGAGTAAATAGGTAGGAGAGGACATGCTTCCCTTGTTAATTCATTTTTCTCTTTGATATTCTGTCCTTAGTTTCTAGAATAATTACTGGCATTTTTAACAGAAAAGTAAGTCTTGGTTGTTTCCTAAAAGGAGACCAACATACACTTGAGACCTATAAGGAAATCCATGAGTATTGAGCAAACTAAGGTGGTGGGAAAAATAGGAAGAGGCTATAATGATAAATACCAAGGGGAAACATACAGTGAGAGGAAAAGAAAAGAACTGAGATGAAACTAAACAGGATGCAACTCTCTTTCCTTTCCTCTTCCTCTAGCTGGTGCCTAACCATCCTTTGGTCTTAACTCAAGCCACTTCCTCAGGAAGCTCCTCCCTCTTCTTCCAGGAGAGAGGACCCCTGGAGTCCAGATCCTCACAGCGCCTTGTACCTTCGCTTCAGGGCACTGTCACAACATTTGCAAGTTGATGTTTATTTTGATGATCAACTCCCGTTCTACTTCGCTCAAGTGAGCTCCCTGAGTGCACAATTGGGTTTATTTTTGCTTCCCGTTGTGTCCCCAGCACCTAGAATAAAGCTGCCTTCAATCAGTGACCCGTGATCATTCCACACGTATCTCGGATCACTTATTTTGTTCCAGGCCTAGCTCTGGGTTTTGAAACAATGGTAGTGAAAAAATACATACACTTTCCTGCTCTCTGCAGCTTACTATCTAATGGAAACTCCATAAAGGGTTGATAAGTGAATAAAATCTTAAATCCAGAGATTTTTTAAAAGCATGAAATACAACCTGAGAAATTCAGCCAGTTAATGGGAAAATTTATGTTAAACTATAAGTAATACATGTGATAAGGTAAGCAAAGCTTACCTATACCTCTTTTTTCTTTTTTTTTTTTTTTTTTTGCGGTACGCGGGCCTCTCACTCTTGTGGCCTCTCCTGTTGCGGAGCGCAGGCTCAGCAGCCATGGCTCACGGGCCCAGCCACTCCGCGGCATCCTCCTGGACCAGGGCACGAACCCATGTCCCCTGCATCGGCAGGCGGACTCTCAACCACTGCGCCACCAGGGAAGCCCACCTATACCTCTTTTGAGGAGGAAAAGGATTGCGTTTTGGTAGGGACTAATGAAGGATATGAAAATCTGCCCTGCCAGGGGAAAAAGAGATGATCTAGATACCTGGAAAATATGGAAAAACCAGCTTCTGAGATATAGATGTTAACTATGGGACCAGGGAAAAGCACTGTAAAGTTTAAAAAAATGCTATGACCATTTGCATGTAGCCAAATTTTGTCAATATGGGCATGTCTCTATTTCTTCTTAAGTGACATGAAGATCAGAAATACTGACTTCTGAATAAAGACGATTGTCCCACTTTCAACTATTTTCACACTAGTATTGTTGGATTTCCAAAATGCAAACTAATGACAGAAGCCCATAAAAATTCTTAATAAAATGGCCCAAATAAGGAAGTTGTTGCTCTTGTAGTTGGTCTCTTCTGTCTTTGGGATATTAACTTCACCGAATATAAATGAGAGGGAAAGCTACAGACCTTGCTCAAACCAAGTCTTGTATGTAGTTGAGCAGAGAATCTAGGGACTGGAGCAGAAGATCATCACAAAACAGACTCTTTCCTTTGTGCTCCTTAGAAATACAGAGTGATGTGATGCTAATGCAAGACTTAGGGACCACCTCAGGTAGATGGAGGGACCACCTTGGGCAGATAGGGACCTCCTCAGGTTTGTACAGACCTGTTGTTTCAGGCAGGGATTCCTATCCCTTCTCCAGGATGCTCCTATAGATGTTCTCTAACCCAACCAGATCCAAATCATATTATACTTTTCACTAAAAATTGTCAGGAGTTGAGCCATCTTGGAAATTAGATTTACTCATCAATTTGATTGAAACAGGTATAAGAAAATATTTACCAAGGTTACTGGTTCCTTGACAACAATGAAGATAAACAGCTTTATGGAAAATAAACACACAGCCATTTATTAGAAGAATAAAGTCTGACATAAACACCAACAAGGATAGTAAACAATGACAGACTCCAAGCCAAGATGTATAATTTAGTTATCTCCTAAATACTTAAGAAACTGAGAAAAATAAGACATTTCCCTCTAGCTCCCCTCTGTGTTATAAACAGAAATGCAGTCAAGGTGAGAAAAAACTAGGACTAAGGATGCCAAAACACAGCATCAAAATCGAGTTCATGGGGCTTCCCTGGTGGTGCAGTGGTTGAGAGTCTACCTGCCGATGCAGGGGACACGGGTTCGTGCCCCGGTCCGGGAAGGTCCCACATGCTGCGGAGCGGCTGGGCCCGTGAGCCATGGCCGCTGAGCCTGCGCGTCCGGAGCCTGTGCTCCGCAACGGGAGAGGCCACAACAGTGAGAGGCCCGCGTACCGCAAAAAAAAATAATAATAATAAAATAAAATCGAGTTTATGTTCTTCCTATCTCATTTGGTTGAATAATTCTGCATCATCTTTGCCTCTTTTTTTTCTGACAGCTATATTTTCTAATCATTACTGTCATCACCAACACGACCAAGTGATAAAATTACTAAGTGTCCTTATGTTCTAGGTGAAGAGAGGACATTATAGACATAAACAGAGTTGGTCCCAGTCATCTGGATGCTCATGTGGCCACAGGTGACTCAGCCACTTCCCGCACTTGCTCTAATACATAATAATGATTCTCCTGGGCCTGCTTGATGGGACAGAAACCATTGCACAGCAAGTCCAATCAATTTCTATGATGCAAATCACCCCTCCATCCACTTAGAAATATGGATAAAAGAATTAGACTCCTTTGGCGGCCATGGTGACTCCACAGGGTAAGGGCTTAAAGCTGTTTGTGCACACAGGGCATGAGGTAAAAACAGGATTATTTTTGGGGGGGAGGTGTTGTAGAGGAGAAGGCAATGGCTTGGGAGTAAGAAAATCCAGCTTTTAGTCCTCTTTCTGGCACTCACTGACTGTGTGACTTTGGCCAAGTCACTTAAATATTCTGGACCTTAGTTTCTTTTATTAGTAACCTTAGGTACGTAAAGTCACGTCATTTCCAGCTTTACCAGCTCATCATTGTCATCCGCTCAGAACAGAACTGGGAGGCAAAGATCCTTTGAGACCTGAATTATCGAAACACAGTAAATCAACGGCTAATGACCTCACTGAATACTTGCTCTCTATCCCCTGAGGACAGCGCAGCATCAATCAGGGACCACTTTGGTTCTCGCTCTTTAGTAGACAGAAGCATCTCCACTTACAGACCCTTCCTGGATGCAGCACGCGGGACCTTTGTTCCCCGACCAGGGATCAAACCCATACCCCCTGCACTGGGAGCACACAGTCTTAACCACTGGACCACCAGGGAAGTCCCCATTCCCACTTTATATGTGAGGAAATCTAGGCACAGAAAGGTGAAGACCCACATAAGATCATACCACTAGAAACTTCCAGAGTAAAGATGTGGATCCAGACCTGACTCCAAAGCTGT